ACATCCACATAGCCACCATGGCTATAAGATGCACTTTTGATGATTTGCCTCATTGCTTATACAAGCATTAATGGTAAGGCATAAAACATCACAGATGTCCTAAATATATTGAGATGATATGGTGTCAAAAAATAAAATGTCCCTGACAATGGAAATACTTCCCCCAATGAGCATTAAATGAAACAAGACAACAAGTTTCCCCCGGGATGTAAAATTTCCCCCTGAATCAGACACTCAATTCTCCAGTACAGGAATTGTTATAAGCCCCCAACACTGAGGTTCCTGGTATCCAACTGAACTGAGCCTGTTATTCAGGGGAAAATCAGTCTGTGATTTGGAGAGGCTTTAATCTGTAATTTGAGGGAAATCTAGTTTGTGAATTGGGGGAAAAATTAGTTCTCAAGAGAGCTACTGCCTGTTCAGAGGGGAAATTTGCTCATTTCAGGAAGGATTCTCACTATCCGGGGTCAGTTGATTTTTTGAAATCAGGGATATAGAAGTTAAAAGTGTCAAAAAATAAATTTCCCCCGAATCACAGACTACATTTCCCTCTAATCATGAACTAAAATTCCCCCCAAATGTAAAACTCAAGCTCCCCTGAATCACAAACTCCAGCCCCCCAAGTCACAAACTGGATTTTCCCTGGATCATAGACTGTGATTTTCTTCAAATAACAAACTCAGTTTCATTTGGGCACAAGGAGCCTCAGACATCTTTGTGATTGGGGGCTTATGATGATTCATGTACTAGAGGACTGAGACTGTGATATGGGGGAAATTTTCTGATTTGGGGGAAACTTGATGTTTTGTTTGGGGAGACTTTTAATACTCATTGGGGGGAACATTTCCACTATCAGAGGTCATTTTAAATTTTGACACTATCGAACACCATAAGGTGACTAAGTTACCATGTTGAGGATATTTGGCAAACATCTTTAGGATGTCTGTCACATATAATAATTCTAAAAAACATCCAAGCAAGGTCTAACAGATATACAAAAAGCACGTTGTTTGGTATGCATCTTCATTTCTTGAGAGCTCAAACTCAATGTCTGCCATGTCTAAAAACCATCTGGAAGATTGCCCACTGTGATTTAAGTTTGCAGCATCCAAGAAATGTTCAACAGACATCCAAAAAAACATTAAATTATAGTTTGTTATTACAACTACCTTAGTATAAGTTTTCCCAAGAGAAAAATGACTTGTACCATGAATGAATAGGTGTACTTGAGCTATAGACCAAGTGTGGCTCAATTTCCCAACATACCACTCTGAAAACCTTCTGCTAGATTCGGAGCAAGCCTAACCCTCTAGAGTGTTGTGCCACCCGTTTGTTTGATGCACCAAAATTTTTAACTTAATAAACACTGGCATCCTCCATCACCAAAAACAACTTGCCCTGAACCTTGCTTTCTTGGCATCATATCCGTGGGGGACAACAGTGAGCAAACACACACAACGCGCCTGAGTATCACATGACGTATGAACCTGCTTTCGGGGTCCCATCAAACGGTACCTTCCATATCAGTCTTTGGACCGCGGCTGTCATTCGCCAAAAAGCATGACAGTCCGGCCTTCCATAAAGGGGAGCTTGGAATTGCAGGTGAGATGATGTCATCGCTCGCGTAGTATCGTTCGAAGAGGTGGGTAAGAGATTGTTAAAGCCGATGTATGCTGTCGCCGTGGGAAAGTCGGCGTTTCGGGTTTCAAGTTTCAGAATTGCTGCGGCATGAAACGTGTCTTTCCTGAATTTTCAATTGCCCAATTGGTTCCGGCCCAAGCTTCGCCTCAGCCCTTGGCAACCCTCAAATGTGTTCTCTCCTCTACTGCGTCTCAAATCGACACAACGACAAATGATCAGTTGCGAAACTTGCTTCAGTAAATTCGGCTCTTATAAGTGGCTTTACTTCCTTATCCTGGTCTCCTTTCATTCATTTCTCTTCTACTATCCTTGAGTTCACTACCGGTATGCCACTTTTCGTTCCTGCCGAGGATCCATCCATCGAGAAGCCCATCGAGAAGCCCCCCACATCTGACAGCCATTCGTTTGATAGCCATACAACTAACCAAGGTATGCGAATAGATTATCCAAACTTTATCTCTCTTGTTTATTTCATCCTCGTTTCCTTGTAGGGGTGCCCACTAGGTCGTCAACTTCCCCATTTTTCACATTAATTCAAGCTTCACGAACCTCGACGTTGGCATCCTCCTCCTCTAGCACTAGCATTGCTACTAGCACCTCATCTACCTCTACATCGAGCTCTTCAATAGTGACGACGTCGACCCATACAACGTTGGTATCCCATATGACAAATTCGCTTGACCAAAAGGCCTAAATGTTTTTTGCAAACAGGAGAACATCGATAGTCGAACTACCTCCTCCGACCATTTTCGAGACGAAAACGGTGACGAGTAGCCCGAGCGTAAGCTCCGATGCAGGAACTTCGCAGAATAATACATCGGGGTCTGGGAGAACTGGCCACGGAAATGTTGCTGGCGGCGTTGTTGGGGGTGCGTAATCCGACGTCTTTGTTGTTTTAGTTTTCCCCCTCGCGGATAGCTGTTTTCCCCTTTCTGTGTTTCTCTTCCCCTCAATTGAAACTTATGATTCGTTGTCAAACAGCTCTCATCCTGCTTACAGTACTCGCTACTGTAGGCTATTTATGCTATCAACGTTGGAAGAAGAGCAAAGAAGAAACGGAATTTGACGGGGTCTTTGATCCGGACCGGGTGGAAAAGGCCCACTCCCCGCATCATAATGTCTCTGATCCTTCTTTCTCTGGTACGCCTTATTTCTAGTATCAGGCGTTTCCACCTTTGGTTGACATGATTTGCCCCGTCAGTCACGCACGGCCACCGTTCTACTAATTTAACACTACCCATCGCACCAAGGCCTCTCTCTTCGCAGTCCACTACCCCCCTAAGGTCCCACACTCCCGTTCCATATACCCCAACCTCTCCCAATTTCGCCCCCTACAGCCCACAAACGCCGTACCCGTACACATCCTGGGTCCCCTTCCCAGACACATCACAACCACCTCGCTCTCCCTCTTCGTATTATGAGTTTCCGGACTCGGAAATCTATTTACACGCAAACGCAAACAGTAACATTAACCATCACGGCTCGGTACATCTACAATCACCATCCTTTTCAGATCCGCGTTCCTCCGCGTATGGTCAACCACCGCTCCCCCATTCTCCTTCTCATCTCCCGATAACGGAACGTTCAGCTACGCCATCTCCATCTCCTTTTGATACACCTCTAGCTCCCGGGGGGACTTCATCATCTCCTTCGATCCCCCGGGCGCTTTTACAATCACCCTTTGATCCGACTTCAACTCCTCGGGCGACTTCACCATCGCCTTTGCGAAGATCAAATTCAAACTCATCATTACCTTATGATAACCCTGAATATGCCCCTCAGCCGAGACCTTCTACCCCTACGGAAAGGTTTACCCAGATATCACTCACCAGCAGTACCGACGGGTTCCTAACCCCACGATCATCCTAACCTTCTCCACTTCATACTTCCGATCCTCCGCGTCATTTCATAAGGGTAGATGGAAGTAAATGTGACGTTGTATCCATTTTGTTTTCTTTTAGAAAAATTCGTGCGCTCTGGGTTTCGAGAATCCGAGGTGTCGCCGTTCATGTTTATCTAGGGTTTTTTGGAAAAAAAATAGTTCCGTTATTTGTTAATTTTTTTGTTCCGTTTGGTAGATTGGATCAAAATGATTCGTTCTTTATAGACTTTGGGGTGAAGGAGAATATCTGGTACTAGTAGAGCGTTACTGAAATGGAATTGCTTTTTACGATCAAAATCAGCTGTGAAATCAGATTCGTTCCTAATTATCTACCATGTCCAATTTATTCGTCTCAGTGAGACTGAAGTTTTACTTATGAACACCCTCGTAGAACGGCAAAGTTAGGGCTGCGAAAAAAAACCCGAACCTTGGGTTCGACGGGTGGAAGATATACGTATTGACCGTACTAAGCACTTGAGTGGGCCTTCAATACCCTTGCCTTGTGACATTGGTCGAGTGTATAGGCATCTCTTGAATAGCAGTGAACATGCTCATCCGGCTTGTCATGGTACGCTCGGTGGCGACTCAAAAATCACCGAGAGCTAGGGCGGAGGAAAGGATCGGAATATCAGAGGATGAGGCTTTGTGAAATTCGATTTGCGTCGCTTTCTGTTTAATTGGTTTTTAGTTTTTTTCTGATATTCCGTTTGACTCAGAAAAACCAAGTGGGGAGATTGCGCGTAGATTCATTTGCTTCGGGTTCTACTTAGTGCAGCTTACCGCGGCGACTTGATACAGAGAACAAGTGTTCCTTTCGATTTCGGACTCGTTTTACAAGGACGAGTACCATCGGTGTTAAATATCACATGATTGAACAGCGTTTCAGATAGCTATAGGTTCAAGTTTAATCAGTTCAAGAGATTTCTGTCACAATCAGTTATAGCTTGATAGCTTTCATTCCTTTCCTCTTGCCTATGATCTACGCTTCAAAGGCTCACGATCTAGATATCTGCAGTCTGTTCTACTTAATTCGGCTTGTCATGGGAGCGGACGGTTGCAGACCACATTTACAGCAGTTTAAGACCTAGATCCGTTCAATGGAATGGCGTGAGCTAGGTGCCCCGGTAGAAGAAACCCGTGGTTGCCAGCTCGGAACGTCAATGGGAGGCTTCGATACTTCACTCCTGCGACCGGGAGCGTTTGGGCCTTGGGGACCACCAGTTGTTACGTCGTCAGCAAGTTTCACACGCGCCACCGACAACGGTTATTGTCAACAGAAACGAGAAAGCATTCGGTGAGCGTAGCGTCACTAGGCATTCGCTTGACGCTGCAACCCCTTTAAAAAGAAATTGCACTTTAATTTCTAGATCTGAAGTTAAGCCAAATTCTTTTTTGTTAGCCGCCCTTACTGACTGGGGATATCGGTAGGAATCTGTGGAAAAGCCGTCCTACCAAAAATCTCAAAGAAAAAAAATACTGACAAGACAGGGATTCGAACCCTGGCGAGGAAACCCTCATGAGAAAGGAAGCTTCGGGAGCTTGAGTCACACGCCTTAGACCGCTCGGCCATCTTGCCATACGGGCTAATATCAGAAGCAGGCGGATGTGGACAACAGGGACAATCCGCTAGGAAAACGACGACTACTACTCGAACCCTCAATATCCAATGTTTAGTAGAGTAACCTTCTTTCCTCTTCCTCCACATATTCGATTCTCCATCAGCTTCCTGCGTCTACACTTTTTAATGGTGAGACACTCAGCAGGGCCGATAACACTGATAATGCCTTTCATCCCCGCTACAGTTTGATCGTGGGCGGCAGATACCCCAAATGTAACAAGCGTTCATATTGTACGGATAACCAGGAATACGAAAGTCTCGCGTCCACACCGGTAATCACAAGTGTCGAGCACCTGTATAACTCAAGTTTCTATAGGTAACATCTCTGATCACCATGTTTAATAGTGGGCTGGCTTTGATTCAGCCTTGAAGATACATGTAGTAAAAGAGGGCTCCACTGCGCATAAGAGGAAATAACTCATAGTTGTGTTTATCATGTGAGGTTGGGCGCCTCCATGCAAGCTAATACCTACTGCTATCTTTCAACCAGTGCACCAGAGTTCAAAGACTTATTTACTCAGCACAAAGCTTCATGATCGTGTAACTCAGGTTCTGAATATCACTGCTATCGTCGCAACCGTGCAAGAATCCTCGAAAGTTCTCACACGGCACAGGCCCCTTTTTGTTTCCTGTCAGACGCGCGTTCGATATTTGTCTCCAAACTTGAGTCTAAAGTCCCCGACACTGAAATTAGCGTGGCTCTATCACTGCGATCTTCAGAATCGCCATGCGCCGCGGAACCAGACGGTTGGATCGGCGTTTCGGCAAGAACGTGTCGTTGTTAACGTTACGGTAAGACCCGGAAACGCAAGATCAACGTTTCTCGTGCTGGAACGATCACCATGACCTCGATCGCGCTTCATCGCTAGAGCACTAGATAGTCAAGACGCAGATATGCCAATCCTCCTTCCCTTAACTTCTCTCTACTCCGCCCACGAAATCTTCTCATTTCCCTGTCTCACTGCGCTGTGAATCACCATCAGGTATGGATAACACGCATCGCGAAACTAAATACACACCCAGTATGTTATCTCACCGTCTCACGAATGATTCACCTTCATCATTTTTCTTTTTTAAAGCAACGACGTCTGAGTCTGGGCCAACTTGGATCTTATGGGACTGGCCCCAAAGTTTGAATGAACCATCCTCCACGTCGATAATATCCTCATCTACAAGCTCTACATCCGTTTCAACTCACAGCACTACCATCGCAACATCGTGAGTTATATGCTTTCATAATCCAAAAGCCGCCTCATCTGCACACAGAACACAGCCCAATGGAGAGACACGTCTTATAACGGTTCACAAGACGCAGACTTTAATTATTTCAACGACCCCAAGTAGCACGGTTCCAAGTTCGTCTTCGAGTACTGTTGCATCAGTGACGCAGAGTGGATTACAGAGTGGGAGTACAGGACGCACAGAATTCGCAACGGGGAAGGACTTCAAAATAGCCGGAGCTGTCCTTGGAGGTAACTTCTCCTTCACCCGTTATTCGTTTACAACCTGATCCTCACTCATCCCTTACATTTCTTGTTCCAATTGTTCCAAACAGGCCTCCTAGCCTTTCTGGTTCTCATTACCGTCGTCGTGGTGTGTTATCAACGCTGGAATAAGAACAAAATAGAGCTCGAGCTCGACCGCGGTTTTGATTCATACAAACAGCTAGAAGAAACCAGCTCCAATCCTGCGCCTCGAGCTGCACTTGCCTCTCAGCCGCCTTCTATCTCTCGTATGTTTCTGTCTGTTCTTTCGCTATTCTTGGGTTAACTTGGCTGGGTGCATCTAAAGGCTCTCACACACCCCGACCGCTTTCTTTAAACCCTAATTTCCGTCCACTATCTGCAATGCCCGCTTCCCCTACTGAGTTTGATCATACCTATGCAAATTACCATTCACCTTCATCGGCCTACTTCTACATCCCTGAGTCTCTTTGCTCTTTACCTTCATCTCCCACGACCAGTCTGATGCACTTGTCACCAACTCCTACTACCGGCAGGAGCCCCTACCCGAACGAGTATCATTTGCACCCGCTGCATGCACCCTCACATCCGGGCTCGCGACCACCTTCGGTTTTGTCTATGGCTACATCTACCCATTCCCCTTTACCCTTATCCTCCAGGCCTTCCGTGCATTCGTTCCAATGAGCTTCGATGATGGCTCATTGCAAGGAGAGGGGGGGTTGTCCATAAGGCTTCAAGATTCTCGATTACATCTGTCGGTGGACCGAGAGCAATAGCTAGGGGGTTACTATGATCCGGTGAATTTGCAAAGCTGTGGTTGAGCGTTGAGCAGAGAGGGGCAGGTGTGGTACCGCCGGACGCCATTCACCTTCTGCTGAGTCCCTCTTCAAAAAAAAAAAACTTTTCTCTCTCTTATTCTTCTTCTCATAATTCTCCTTCCTCCGCCTTCGTCTAGAGCCTTTCCAATACATCGACGTAATCCCGAACCTTTACCCGCCCCCATATTCCTTTTTTATGTAACGGGAATTCCTTACCGACTTTGCCGGGTTGCCTCACTAATCGTTTCGTGTGCGCCACGCCGTGGATTTGGTCGATCCCGTTGGCGGATAACGGTACAGGGGGCCTACCTCAATATTCGTATTGTTGAGGACGACCCATTTTTGACCTTCAGGAGCTGATACTCAGTGATATCATGCAGCTCTGTTTGACGTCGATATTGGCATTTGTGTTTCCTCACGCCCAGTTTGACTGTGGATCCATATATATTATCTCCTTTGTACTTGAAAAGTCCATCATGATTGTCCTTCCCCCCATCGTCCGAGCCTAGGAAAGAAGCGCGTTTCCGTGCCTTCGATCCACCCTATTGTTTTTCTTTATTTTACTTGTTACGTTTGAGTGGTTTCTATTTCAATTTACATAACCTGGATTCTGCGGGCGACGCTGCGAGTTATTTAGGCCTGTATGCATAGTCAGTTGAAAGGTGTTTACATAAAAAGAAGTCAGTAAATGCCGTGAATTTTGTTTAAAGCATGTTTCATTGCAATGAGAGGATTAAATCAAAGTATTATAACCATGTTTAAGTCTGAGATGAAGCCTCACTTACCGTAAGCTAAAGGTGGGTTTAACAGACTTGGAGCTTTCTAAGCACATCAAGCAGGCTTTTAGCAGTGCTAAACTAGTAGATAATTTGCTGGTGGCCTGACAGGTCCAAAAAAAACAAGGGCCTTGGCTTACACATTATGAATACAACTAGGATGAACAGCTGGATACTTTTTATGGAATAATATTGTCTGGAATAATGAATCATCTGGAATATGCTTTCAGGGAAGCCAAGTTCCAAAAACCACTGTATTCTATGTCATGTGGGATAGTGGCTTGGAATAGGATTTTGGCTGCCCCAACCATATTTCATATGAAGCATTTGACTGTACTAAGAGTTCTGGACAATAGGAAGAGGTTTGGGACTTGAAAACATACTATCTGGGACCAGGTAACCGGACACGATGCTAGTAATTTATGTTTGATATGATATTCCTGCGAGTATTTACCTTCTGTGAGTGTTCATCTCAAAGTAATACATCTTGGCTGGCCCTCCCTAAGAGGTTTGAAATTTACAAGCAGTTGAAGCCGAGATATGAATCTTTTTCTCCCACGACCGCCAAACCGGGGTTAGCTGGGAAGGCCGGAGACGCGCGGAATGGCGGCAGGTACGGATTGTGGCTGTGGCCGCTACATCGTCGTCTTTGCACCTGAGTAACTTGCTCATATCTCAACTAAATTACGTATATAGGGGTTTGAATCGAAGGGGAAAATCACGAGAATGAAATAAAGTACTTTATCAACATTCTAATCATGTTTAGATGCCAGGTAAATGATCAAAGTGTCACGAAGTGGGTACTATTTTCCTTTTACCTTCCATGGTCCCTACTCCCTCTACTCTGATACATGACACTATCCTGGTTTCTTTCCTTGGTCTTATCTTTTATTTTCATTCCACAATGTTCTATCATTTTCCGCTACATTCTATTCGTCTCCGCATGATCTAGGTCATGACATCATAGGTCACATGCCAAGTAGTATATATAGGATGACTTGTCACCTAGTCCCCCATCTTGACCTCTTTGTCATTGGGACTAGGTGCGTATTTGTACTCTGTAGGATACTGGGTTGTATTGATCACCTTTGTCATTGGGACTAGTTGTTGACTGTCGAGCCTCAGCTCCAGTCTTTGTGTGTTCACTACCGGCACTTCACCACATTAGGTCAAGATCCTCTACTGCATGGGCACCCTTCCGATAAGGCTGTCTCTGCAGGCCGTACCGTTCCGCCATGTCTCCAACATTCAGCGCATCGAGACCCGACTCTGAAGAAGAATCTGAACAGGAGAAAGTTGACTGCTCTGCACTACCACACGTGTACGACGTTACCGACAATGAACACGTACACCTAACCACCAACGGAGAGTGGACCAGTTGTGATCTGAACCAGTGCCCAAACACACTTGCAAACTCGATATCCGAACCATACAATTTAACCAACATTGATGGTAGCATCCTCGAATTTGACCGTTTCATTCCAGTACTTCCACCATTACCACTGTCCCCAACTCCAGTCCGTCCAGCTACCCCCAGTTTATCCAGAACCCCCAGACACTCTAGGCCTGGGTCCCATGTAGGTTGACACTCCAGACTCACATCACATATTTCGCCCTTAGCTTCTCCTGCACCTGCACTGTTACCCACACCTCGTGGACCTTCCATACCCCTGTTTATCCCTGTTACCACTCCCAGAACACCATCTCCAGAACCGCAACCACCCACTCCACCCATAATTATGAACAACGAACAACTTGCCCACCTCTTAGAGGGCCTAAACACCGTCACCAATGCCCTGCTAACGCAGACAACTCGCTCGAAGGACGTCATCAGTAAACCCGAGGCATTCAAGGGAGAGAAGGGCCACAATGCTAGACGATGGCTGAACCAGTTTGATAAC